ACAGAGGTTGTTGCTACCTACACGCAACGCGTGTGGAATTCATCAAGCTTTGTAGCCCAGCTGGATGATGTTCTAAGTACAAACTCTCCCTAGTAGAAGGTAGCGATACCCCGTCAATGTTTTCCATTTACAATGGGTTTAAAAATGTGTAATCGTACATGACAGACTGTTCCAAAACCTATAGACCTGTCAAGCAGAAATTCACAGACTCGAACCTTTAAGGCGTAAATGAATTGACAGTGTTTCTTTTTCTGAAGTGTGAGTTACATAACGTTTGCATAGCTCACTGGCACATACGCGCACTATTCATTGCAAAGCTCTCCCAAGGTAGCGGGAGGCCAGGAGTGAACATTCACCACAGGTTAGATTCTGTCCTTGCCGTACTTCGCTACAGAAACAATCCTGCGAACAGTTCTCCGTAGAGACAAGCATGTGAAACCCCGAGGGGAGAGCGCTTTTACCATCCCGCTCCTCGGTGTCAGCAGAGGGATGCAGGAGCGTTTTACAGGGCTGTTGCCTGCGGGAGCTACAGTCATCTGTGCAGAGTTCCCAGGCTCTTCCTGGAGATCTAAATACTGGATCTAGCTAGCACTAGATCTAAGCATTTCATAAAATGCGTAACAGACATGAGTGCTTTGACTGAACATACAGTTGTAGGTGTTACCAATCAAAGAAAGCTGTAATTCTCAAACCATGCAGAGTAAGATTTGACTTCATGGTAAGTAGAAGGTTAACAGAAATCCCAAGATGGAGCTCAGTCTGACAACACAACAGTGTTGTCATTCACACACAGATGGAAAACGTAACTTTATATATTGTTTTGATTCGTTATTTATCTCTGATGTTTTTTATTACTTTACAATTTTGTTGAATTTTGCATATACTTATACTGAATCATGGCACATATAGGGATTTCCAAAACGAAGTGAAACTGTTTAGATTGATTCATATCAATTACACATTTCATGTTTGAGAGTATTTGTATTTATAGGGATAACTTTTTAAGCTTCTTAGGGGTAAGACAGAATGACAAGTGTGGATGATGCAATAGTCTGCTAATGCTGAAACACTTAGACAGGATATGAAAAGGGGAATGAATGCAGGATTTCAGAAGTGAGCAGGACACTCTTAGGAAACATTTCACTAATCAGTTGCTCTTATCAGTCAACAGATGTAAAACCACAAAGATGCAGTGGAACACTTGGAGATACTCAGCTTATGTTATTTATCACACCATAACTTAACTGCATACTACTCAGTTTTCAAGTTTCTCTTTGTGCTGGTTTAAAAGTTAACCAGCAGGGGGAATGAACCCAACTCAAAGGAGAGATTATAAGTCAGAATAACAATTTATTAAAATAATACAGTAAGTACAATAATACAAACAAACAATTGGTCTCAACCCACAAAAACCCAAATGTGTAACCCAGTACCCTGGGGCCTGAACAAAGTGGTGTTCCTTGGGCCCTGTTTGAGTCCAAAGTAAAGGGAGAGGGGAAGAACCTGCTGGTGGGAGAGCTGCTGCAGTCTGGCCAGAACTGGTGATCGCAGTCCAGTGGTGGTCTAAGTCTGGTTGAGAGCGATGAGATGCAGCCGTCCTCTGGATCCCACGAGTGGGTTCCAAAATGTTCCAAAACTCCAAGATTATATATCCTCCAGTTCAGGCAGGAATGCTTGGTACTCTCCTCAGGGCGGGGAGTTCACAAAGGGTGTGAGGACAGAAACATCCTTCTATCTCACAGGCCTCTTAACACCTAGTTTATAGCCTGAGGAGTCAGGCTCTATGGGCAGAGGGTGCGAATGGTCTATTGACAACAATAGTCTAGTTTCTGGGAAATGACATGGAAGGCTATAGAATACAGTTTTGGGTTACACCCACCATGCTCTATGGGCAGAGGGTGCGAATAGTCTATTGACAACAATAGTCTAGTTTCTGGGAAATTACATGGAAGGCTATAGAATACAGTTTTGGGTTACACCCACCATGATGAACTGATCTCAGCTGTCCTAACTAGGACACTCTTGTCTTGTAAATTGTATTAATTAGCTCGTTTATCAGTTCATATTTAGATTCCTGCTTTCAGTAGCAATTAAATAGCCCTTAGATTCAAAAGCCACATTCTGCTTCTAGTGTTAATAAAGATGTACATGGCATTTACACAGGACTTTTCTCAGTATTTCATAGACTAGGTAGTTTGACATTTCTACGAAACATGTTGTCGCATGACTGTTACAGAGAAACTGGAGTGCATAGATACATATTTATAAGACTCATACAAGAACACAAAACAACACTACCTACGTTACTTGAAAGTAGCATCCCATCATGTGTTGTTCTGGTATTTTACTCTGTGGATGAAATTCCTAATGAGAGGTACTTAGTATTTACTTTCATGAAGGACACTTTCTCTGCAACCCACAGATGACTTTTTCTGTAGTTTTGCCCACAGCAGATCTGCTGTTTTCTGCACTGATGGCGGGACACTGCAGTAACCAGTCACTTTGGAAACAAATGCAAACCTGGGGTACTTTGTATGCTCTGGAAAGCCTACACATCTGTTTCCAAAACCTTCTCATAGACTGTAGTAAGCTCTACACCAAGAGCCAATAAACATTGCTTGCTAATACAAGCTGCTTTGAACTAACTGAAAAGAACTGCTTATATTAGTTAATAGTGGCTGGTAACCGCATTTAAAACTGCACTGCCTGGTGCACTCCAGTATACAATACAAGCTTGTAATGTATCTTCAAACATGCCAGCTGCTTCTTTTTACAGCACCTTCAAACCGTTTTCAACATTTAATTCTATTGAGCTATGATGTCTAAGAAACATACCCTTTGATATCTAAAAGTGAGCCCTAAGTTCCTCCAGGATAACTGTGTTTTATGGAACTGGTGTTTCCAGATGGAGCTAGCTGCCAAAACTATGAGTGTCCTTAACATTAGGATTCTGGCAGTCGAAGAGCAGCCTCTCTGTGATGGAATAAGAAGAGCAGGTTGTAGGAAGCAGCTCTTGCACGAACATTTAAGAACCTCTTAGAATGACTTAACCCTTTGCAATTTGTCCTTCTTCCAGGACCAAGGTTTTTAAGTTGCATTTAGAACCCTTCACTACACTGTCTAAGCACTTTAGATAATGTTAACATTTTATACCAATATAATTGTCTCATCCAGGTCTTTCACCTCGCAGGTGAGATTGTATCATTAAGTTAACTTCATGACCGGGAGAAGAGAAGGCAGAAATATAGGTGTTGATACAATGAAGCACCCCAAAGCAGTATATTGAGAATGAGCATTCTTACTCATAGTCAAAGTGAGAAGATAAACCAGTTTGAATTTGTTTCCTTGAATTTAGTGATTTCCCTTTGAAACATACCTGATTTTTTTTTTCAAATTGGTCCCCTCCTTCCCTCAAATTCTAACTTTGCTGATTTTTTCCGAAAGTCTTTTTGATCCATATTGTCTCAGTCTTGTCTGGGAGACGCAACAATCAATTATTAAACTGTTGACAGCATACTGAAACTACTCCATAAACTTGTAAATCATAAAGATACTATGAAAGGCAGAGAAGGTTTCAAAAACCAAACTCGGAAGTTAGTTACCACAGCTGTTGAAGTTCTGCCAGAAGAAACCTGTGACAAAATGAAATTCACTTGTATGGAATATACCAGTTTCTAAAATAATGGATTCAGTCTATGTTTGAGGATCTGTCTGCTACTAATGTGGTATGCCTTCATTAAAAGGATCAACAAAACCATTATCTTCTATTTCTCCTCAAGATGCAGATACTAGTCTAATGTGTAGAATATTAACATAGGTAATACAACTAGGTAAAGCATCTCCACTAGGTAAATACATCCCTCTTTACAAAATGACAGTCTAATTTATCATCACAACCTGAAGCACAGCCTTTGGATGTCTTCTGTCATGATTCTGAACTAATTCAAACCTATTCATCTTATGGGAAATAGTCTGTTGTATTCAAACATCTGTGTTCTGCCATTTGTGTAGCCCATGGCTCAATTATATTTTTGTCTCCTTATTGTGTGTTAACAAGAAGCTTCTTTAATTATGTATTGTTGGCAAATAATTTGCATTTTCCTTTTAAAACGACCACCATCTGTGATTGCACCAGCCTTAAAATAGCTTTAAAATAAGGAATCTGCATCTCTCTTGCCTAAATTGGGTGGTGATTAATATATGCTCCCCAGACATTTCTTTTTTACACAGTATAAGAATTGTAGTATTTCCTAATACCTCTGGAACTGGTTGCCCAGAGAAGTCGCGGATCCTTGGGAAGTGTTCAAGGCCAGGTTGGATGGGGCTTTGAGCAACCTGGTTTAGTGGAAGGTGGCCCTGCTTACAGGTGGGAGTGTCGGAACTAGATGACTTTTATGGCCCCTTGCGTCCCAAGTCATTCTATGATTCCATGATTCTAAGTATTTTGTAGTATTTATGTCACACATATTTTCTAGTTTTACTACCAATTCTACAGGACTATGCTTTACTCTCTTCTAAGATTAAAAATTCCCAGGAGCGTGACACTCTTTCCACTTCTTCTCTTTCACTACCCCTTTACCTGATCCCTGCCGAAGCAAGAGCCACATACCTAGAGCTCTTCACACCAGCCAAGAACCTGCTGACGGTACAACACAGCTTTGGGACAAATTATCAGCACTGCTGCAGGCATGTGAGCCCAGCCTGGCCTCCTCTCAGGTTCGAAGATTAGGTCTTAAGTCTTAAACTCGGGGTACAGTAGGAGTGGAACTGGGCCTCGGCTCTCTCGGGGCCTGCCGCGGCTCCTACATTTTGCAGGAATAAGCAGAGCTCACCCCTCAGCCCCTGTTTCGGAGGCCGTTTCCCGCCGTTGGCCGCAGCCCCTGAGCCCGCCCCGGCCGTTAAAGCCCGGCGGGACCGCCCAGCCCTTCCTTCATCCCGCCCGGGCAGGACCGCAGGGATGCGGCCGGGATCCCATGCACGGATGCGCGGTGGGGAACGGGAGCTCTGCACCAGCCCCCGCGAGGCGGAGCCGCGGCGGAGGGAAAAGGGAGCGAGCGGCGGGAATGTCACACTCCTGTGAATTGTTAAACTTCGGCGTGCGTAAAGCGTAGTAATGTAGAACGGGTGGCAATACTAGGAAATATATGTGACACAAATAGTACAAAATACTTAAAATCACGTAATGGTTTGGGTTGGAAGGGACCTTAAACATCGCCTAGTTCCAACGCTCCTGCCGCGGGCAGGGACACCTTCCACTAGACCAGGTTGCCCAGAGCCCTGTCCAAACTGGCCTGGAGCACTCCCAGGGATGGGGTATCCACAGTTTCTCTGGGCAACCTGTTCCAGAGGTGTTAGGAAATGTTATCCTGCGTACAGAAAGAAAGTCTGGGGAGTGCATATTAATCACAGCCTAATTTAGGCAAGAGAGGTGCAGATTCCTTACTTTACAGCCTTTTCTAAAGCCGGTGTAATCACAGACGGTGGTCGTTCTAAAAGCCAAAACATAACGTACCCCCACTCCCTCAGCGGGGGGGCGGGCCGGGCGCCGCACGCGACCTGACGTCAGCGCGGGCGGGCGCGCCGTCACGCGCGCCCTCCCGAGCCCTCCCCGGCCCTGCCCGCGCCGGCCGGGCCGCGCGCGCTGATTGGCCGCCGCCTTCCCGCATTCCTCCGCGCCGCCCGAGAACCCGCCATTTTGAAAACCTTGTTGATTCCGGGAGGGAGGGAGCGAGGGAAGGAGAGGGAGAGAGTGCGGCGGCCGCGGGGCTGCGCCGCGGCGGGGCGTGCGTGTGTGTCGCTGCGCCCGGACCCGCCCCGTCCACCGGGAGCTGCCGCCTCCTGCTGCTGCCGCCGCCGCATCCGCGCCCGAGGAAGGAGGCGGAGCCGCGGCTCGATCCGAGGGTGGTGGTCCCGCCGCCATGGCCGTAACGGGCGCCCGAGAGCGGTCCCGCCTCGCCGCGCCCGGGCCGGGCGGGGACGGGTTTGTGACGAGGGGCAGTGGACGCGGCCGCCGCACCACCGGGCTCCCGTCCCGCCCTGGGGACACGCCGTGTGTGCGGGCCGTTTGGTCGCCGCCGGCCACCTCCCGGCCCGGCCCCGCCCGGGGTGTTCCTGGGGCGCTGCGCTGTCCTGCGGCGGGAGCGGGCAGAGCGGTCCCGATCGGGGAGGCGATGGAGCCTTGGCCGCCGGGCGCTGCCCACAGCCTGCGCTTCTCCCTGGCCTCCAGATCGCAGGTCGGGAAAGGGGGTACAGGTGGCGAGTCCCCGTCTGAAAAGTCCCAGGCGAGGGTGAGGGACCCTCTCCCGGCCAAAAGTATCCCCGAGTTGAGTCTTCCTAAAGGTGGATCCCAGAGCCCGTTTTCTCTGAGCAAGCCGTCCTTATGAACTCAGGTGATAAAAAGCTGGAAAGTCTCTTAACTTCCCTATTCCCCCGCTGCTCCCGTTGAAAGGGGAGGGAAAAACGGCTTGTAGTGCTTCCCATGCTTTTACACTCGTGCCTTCAAGTAAAATTCAGACTGTAATGCCGTCAAAAGACTTCTATGTGTCAAATGAAATATTGGTAGTAATACCTTGAATGGGGTTTCTTTCCCCCAGTGATTTAGCAAAGAGCAGGAAACTACTTTTCCCCTTAATATTGGTAATAAATATTAACTTGCACTTTCTGTCACTTGGAGCACTGCTGCTCTCTACCACCTGCTAGTACTGCATATAAGCAGTTGATTTAAATGTTATTTATTGAACTTGACCTCTTGCAGATAATATTGGCTTTAATATCAGACGAAAATGCTTAATTGTGTGATACTTTTCCACAAGTGCTTACGGCATCATTTGTGTATTTTGTTCCAGACCTAAACAGTGAAAAATTTTGAAAACTGGAGTTTTTCTAAAATGAATCATATGATTATCTTCCTTTACTGGATAGATATTTTCTCTTAGCATGGCAATGGTACATGCAAAATTAAGATATTTTAAAGTTAACATTTAAGTCACTTAAAATGCTAAGAAAAGACTCTTAAGTATGTTAAGTATGAAGCATTTATTATTTTCTGTTATAGATCTACAAATTAAAACCAAAAAGCATTTTCATGCCCTAAGATGCAGCAGCTGTCTGAATTATGAATGCAGTGTTAATTCTTTTCTGTATTGCTTGCAACTTTCTTTTTTTTATCACTTTTCAGTTCCCATTTCACATCTAAATATGTAACCTGTTTAAGTTACTAGGAAACTTGCATGCACAGTTAATCAGGAACAAATGCAGGGTGCACTAAAATAGTGATATCTTAAAACTGCAGTTTTTAATAGATAACAGTATCAGCTGCTTTGAGTGGGTGTTTCCGAGTGCTTCACAAACAGCTTGTGTGCGAAAAAAAATTATAACCTTTTAGAGTGTTCTTAACTGGACTAGTTGCAGAATAGACAGCAACTTCTCCTGAAAAATTTTCTGTATTGTGTGTATGCAGAACATTTTAGTGATAAGAGAACGTGAACAATCATAGTACATTGTTTCTACTGCACAAGGAGATTATTTTAAAAAGCAAGATTCCTGTATTTTTCATGTATATTGCTATATTGGTGATGGTTTGCCTGACTGCTTTTTACAGAACCATACACCATGTCTTCTGTTGATTCCTCAAAAGAAGATACGATGTCACCAGAAAAAACGGATGAGAAACAACCTGAAACTGAAAACAAAGCTGAGGAAAGTGATGAAGATGAAGAAGAGGAAGAAGAGGAGGAGGAAGAAGAAAAGGGTGCTTGTTTTTCCATTGAATAAGTTCTCCTTTATTAAAAGCCAAGCTGCTGAATGCAGTCTCCTGTGATCTTGGCTAATTGTACAATTATTGAGGAGATTCCATGGTACACCTGTCTCATGGGTCTTAATAACTTCCCAGTAGACTGTAGCAGGAAACACTAGAAACGGTGATGCTGATTTATCTCAAGAAAGATTGAAGGAATTGCCAGCATCCTGGATTTCTACACTAGGGTTGTTTTGTAGTTCTGTAAATTTTTCAATCATTATAGGAGGTAGTATCCTTTATCAAATTATTTTTTGCCAGTAACACTCTGAAGTGATCCATGTTTGCAAAAGAGAAGCTTGTGAATGCGCAGTACTTTTGGAAACAATACAGATGTCTTTGCTTAACTACAGTTATTAATTTTCTGGGTACCAAAATGTCATTGTATTGGAGAGGCAGAAATTTCATTAGACCAGTTTTATCGGTAAAAATTGTGGCAATATGAGAAGGTGAGCAAAGCAGGTATTGTGTTGTGGTGTGTAATTGAAGAGGGTAGTCAAGGAGTACAAAACATGATGAAGGAACTACTGTGCAAAAATGTTAATTTCCATTGTGAAGTCTCCAGGCATCTGTTTTGCAAATGAAAGCATTCATGGAAATAGAGCTGCAGTATGGCACAGTGAAAATCAAGTCACTGATGGTCTTGGATTCTTGAAAGAGAACAAGTTTGTCTCTAGGAAAGGTAGTGGAGAGAAAACAGATTATGCTGTTTGGAAAATAATAGAGTAATCAGAATTAGATTTTTAGTAACAATTTTTCTTTTGTACACACAAGTATGTTTTGCTTTGTTTTTGGCAGACACATACCAGTTTTGATTGTGTTCATACGGGTTTGAAGCTGCTTTCAGATGTTAAAGCCAGGGCAACCCATCTGTTTAGTGCTAAGGATAGTTTGATTTTAGGTGAAATATTTTAGGATGAAATGTTTAGGCAAAGCTTTAGGTGTTTCTCCTAAAGTGGTATCATTGAGGTAATGATGTGCAATGTATACTAAACATATTCATTAGTAAGCAGTACCAGAATTACTGGGAATAATATTCTTGTAGTATTTGTGACACTCATATTGTGCCATGAAGTGCTTCACAGTACAGACATGTACAGTCCCTCTGCACTTGTGCTTCTGCCTCTCCTACTGATATCTGTGGTTCTTCCAGTCCAGTAGTGGGAAAAGAATTTGTCTGCAGGCATCCTGGACTCTCCTTTTGCCCATCTGGTGGCATTATTCTTCTCAGGAGTGCTATGTGTGGAGCTGTGCACCGTCCAAGAAGGAGACTGTGCAAGCAGTGTCACTTCTGTACCTCAAAAAGGCCATGAAGGGAGAGAACGATGGGTTTCTGAAAATGCTGTATCCTCCATTTGGGTGGATGTGAGGGAAATTCACCCCCACTTCCAATGGGGTGAATTTCCTTTTAGGAAATACCTAGTCTTGTCTTGCACATACCTTACGCTGGATACAGGATTGTGGTTAAGAACTAGAGACTTTTAGTTATGTATATGTGGCTCCATAGAATCACGTTGATTTATTAGCCAAGGTCTGAAAGCGTCATAGCACTTGCTTATATCCTCATCCATTTTTGGTTTGTCATTTCAAAGATTCAGTGTCGTGTTGCCTGTCTCTACAGTCAAATCTGCTCATGCAATGAAAAATAGTGTTTTAAGGAAGCTTGTCTTTTGCAGAGAAGAGTCTCATCGTTGAAGGAAAAAGGGAGAAGAAGAAGGTTGACCGACTGACCATGCAAGTGTCCTCATTGCAGAAGGAACCTTTTACAATTACACCAGGTAAGCTTGACCTCTCGCATAAGAATGGTGGGTGTTGGGAATGATAATGAAACTTCTAAAAAGATCAAATTATTAATCTGTTGTAGATGAGACCTACCTTAAGAGTCATGATCCATTTTAAAATAATTAGGCTACTATAATTATATGAAAAGCCTCTTTTATTTTGTGGCATCAATTTAAACTGTAAAAGTTACATGATATTTAAACTTACTTAGAATAGGTAAGTACTTTTAGTACCTCACCAACAACAACAAAAGCAGGAGCAGCTAGAATAGAAAGAAATGCCAAGTCCTTGTACCCTGATCTAGGTACTATCAAGTAAGGAAGGTAAAGAGCCTGTCAGGATGACTAAGTGATAGGAAGAGGCCTGCTTAATGTTTGACCTAATAAAATATCTCATTCTATTATGAAGTAACATCTTTGCTTCCTTAAAAAACAGATACTTAAAGTTATAAACACATAGGTAGATATGAATGTAATGCATAACATAGTTGATTTTAATTGTTTCAGGAAAAGGACAAAAACTGTGTGAAATTGAAAGGATACAGTTCTTTCTGAGCAAAAAGAAGACAGATGAACTAAGGAACCTGCACAAACTCCTCTACAATAGGCCAGGCACTGTAAGAACTTCAATCTTGTGTATCTGTTAATTCTCATGAATAGTGAAAATGTTTGTAGTGTAGTTTTTTACATTTACACATCAATCATTTATTACAAACTTAAAAAATTAATATTGCAGGACCAGTTAAGTAAGCCCATAATTTTTTTAACTCCTATAAACTACTCTTCCTGTAAAAGTCCTATGGCAAGGTGCTATTGTAAGTCTGTTCAAATGCAGATTTTTAAAAAATTTTACTTTTTTTAATGGGGATGGTTTATCTTATAGGGTCGAGTCGGAAATAATTTGTGGTTCACATGCTAAAAGCTGCTGACATGCAGATGACAGTCAAAATATTCCACATAGTTATTCTGCTCATTGTAGCTTTTTCTTAGTACTTTCTTAGTACTTCTATTTCTTTTGTATTTGAAAACTGTTAGTGAGTTTAGTACATTGCTGCTTATGTAGTCATTTTCTCCTTTTAATAGCACAAAACAGTAGAATGTAAAATTACATTATATATAAAATCCTAATAGTGTTTTTTGTCACATTTATGTAAGAGAATTAAAATATTACTTAAAAATGGATATGGCCCCTTTTGTGTTTAAGGATGAAACTTAAAGAAAATATAATAGCAAATCTTTCTTGGAGCCCTTTATGTATCAGTGGTTGTGCCTTAAATTTCAGAGTAAATATGACCCATTTACCTTGCTAATGGAGGTAAAATGAATACAATGAAATTAAGGCAGATTAAATTTCAATATTTGTATATATTTACTATAATTATTGGAATTTGTTTTTAATATCTTTGTGTATTTTGAAGACTTGAACAGCTAGCCCAGAACCCAGAAACTGAAAAGTACTAGTACAGATGCATGCTAGCTGTAATATCTCAGATCACTGCTTCAAATGCAGTGCTTGTTTAAATGGCAAAGAAAGACTTGTTGCCTCAAGTATTCAGAAAAAGAATATATCAGTATGGTTTCATTCAAAACTATATTTAATCAGCATGTGTTTGGGAACTCAGAGTGCTGTGTAATATAGCAAAGGTTAGATCTTGTCTTCTATGTAAATACTTGTATGTGCTTTGGATTGTAATTAACATTTTTAATACAACATACCAATACTGCAAACATAGTGAATCTGCAAATTTTCTCAAGGTGCTGGGCAAAGCTCTTTGGAAAAGGAGCTCAGCTTTGGTAAAATTATAAACTCATGGAGAAACAGCAGGAACAAAATTTGTAGGAGTACTGGAAGTGAGTTCAAATTATTCTTGGTAGTGTTAAAAAGACCTCAGAAAATTGAAGGATTTGGGGTTATTCTTTAATGTCTTTTATTTGGTAAAAGGAGATGAAGTGAAAACAAAGAACTTAAATATGTTTGGAATCTTGATAGGAGCAATTTTCCCATTATAAAGGCTGTTGCAATTAAAGTTCAGTCCGGTTCAGACATCAGGTGTAATGGTAGAAGTTGTAAATTGGGTGTAAATACAAAAACTGGTCCTGCTAAATAAAAGGTTCAAAAATGGTCCTATGCAAGACTTCAGAAAAGCTAGTAAGCAAATTAGAGAATAAAAAAATAAAATTCACTATTTTATAACAAATTACATGATTAAAAGCATGCAACAGGCTTCATATGATCGAAGTTTTCCAAACCTGTAAATAATCATGCAGTACATTCTGAACAAGCCTGAAATGGCAGGTGACTTTATCTAGTGAGTTATTAAAAGTAATTAAAAGTACCAAGATCACATAAAGTCAGTCATTGTAGTTTGTCTGTCATGAGATAATTAAAGGCATAGTCCATGTAAGTTGTAACTATGTAACTTTTTGTCAACAGAAAGCTAAATGCTAGAAGAGATTTTTCATGTATGAAAAGTTTAAAAGATTTCATTTAATTACATTTGTTGACTTTGTGCAATGGAAAGTAATCTGTGTGTTCTGTTCTAGGTTGCATCCCTAAAGAAGAATGTGGGTCAGTTCAGTGGGTTCCCGTTTGAAAAAGGAAGTGACCAATACAAAAAGAAGGAAGAAATGTTAAAAAAGTAAAGATCTCTTTTGATACTTAACATAGCTTGACTAATACTATACACTCTTTTTTTTTTCCAGAATTTTACTTAAGATTAAATTGAGTGACTCTACGATTTTTTTCTGAGTTCATTTTAATCACACAAACCGGTCTCTTAAGACAGCTTGAAATGTATTAACTAGTGAACATTTAATTCACAATTCCCACATTCCTGGCTTTAGCTATTGCATGCTAACTAGCATTCTTCTGCCAAGTGAGAGGAAAACATTATTTCCGCAGGGCAAGCATAGTCTTGTGAATACATTGTACTCCATTCATGGTACAAACTTGCATCGTTCTATGCATCAAAACCTTCCTCTTTCAGAATCAAAGCCATTTCTGCTTCTTATATATTAAACATATTAGAATTGCTGTAGCAACTAGTCTAAGAAACTTTTTTTTTTCTGTTTTACTGTCTCCCTTTGTAAGCTGCTTCTCCATTAACAGGAGAAACTACTATAACCTAGTTTTGACTGGATTGAAAGGGGTTAAAAATGCCCTTGTAAAACATGAAAGAACTAATAAAACATATACAGTGTTACAAATTTACAAATGCTTACATTTACAATGTTTACAAATTTACAAGTCTACAATCTGTACATTTGATTTTAAAATGCTTTTTTTCTTAATGCCTCTTTGTTAATAGTAGGAAGGCTTCCAGAATTTGGAATTTGCAAATTTTTCTTCCTTATATATGCAGTTTTCCAAGAGTAGGGTTTGTCAGATACATAGGAATCTACAAGACAAACTCTGTCTCCTGATGGGAGTTTTGACTGTTTCCCGCTGGCTTAATTGGATGATGGATAATTAGATAATTCCCCTTAACTACACAAGGTCACAAAATAATTTCGCACTTTTTTCCCCATATTTTCCATATGAAACAACTGCTAGTTTAGCTTTGTTACCCTTCAGCAAATATTCTGAAACCTGGTTGCATTGTCACTCTTATATCAAGGTATATCAAGCCCTGTGTGCTTGCATTGCTTTGCTAAATGCTGCTGCTGTTCGTATCTGCATGTGGAACACTGCTGATTAGTTTGTTAATTTGTTCTGACTGTGTGGTTGATTTCTGCCCACACTGTACACTTGCATCTCGTTGTACTTTAACAGCATTGAACAAGATGAACAAAGGTCAACATTTATTTTACAGAATCTTACCATTCAGGTTATAAATTACAAAGAATGAGTGTTGAGGTGCTGTGTGGGTTAGAGTTCTTGGATTTTGTTAAGTCAAAACTACTTGCTGTGGAAGTTACTGACTCAAAACTTGTGTGCGCTTGTTTATTCCACACTTGAACTGCATCTTAATAGTTCACTATAATTGCTATTACCTGCAGATCTACTTTCAAAGCATTAAAATTAAGAAAGATTCTTTTGGAGTAAAAGGGGTGGATATCAGAGTTTCTCTTAATGTTCTGTCTTCATCAGATACCTCTGTAAGGGGATAAGGAAGACTCTCCCTGCCCGCTTTAAGTTCCAGTATTGTACACACTGGATTTATTTTCTAGAATTGATTTTTTTCCCATTATAGTAGATTAGGAGAGATTCTACGGAAGGTACTTTTTTTCTCCACTAAGATTTTATAACATTGTGTTTTATATCCTATTTTACAGACATATGGATTTGAGAATTTTTTTTTTATTTGGCCTTATATAACATGGTGGTGATTCTTTGCTTAACTATAAATAAGACTGGAAGTGTAGTTAACTGTGTATATATATTTTCAGGTTGCAGACACAAACCAGACAGCAGCTTCTAGCAGTCAAATGTTGACTGTTTAGGATGTGATACTGAATCTTTTTTTCTTTTCTCTTTTTTTTCCCCCAGATTTAGAAATGCAATGTTGAAAAGTATCTGCGAAGTTCTTGACTTAGAAAGATCAGGAGTTAATAGTGAGCTCGTAACCAGAATATTAAACTTCCTAATGCATCCAAAATCTTCAGGCAAGGTGAGATGCAGGTTGTTACGCTTGCTTTTATAGCTCTGCTCCGATGGAAAATGTATCTGTCTCTATTGTTATTTGCTAGTTACTAGTGGTGATACAATTACTGCTCTGAGTTACTGAAGTGGGAATGTCTTCTTGAAAGAGAGTAGCTCTGCTTCTGCAGGCATCCATAATGGGGTGGGGACTGTATATTTACATGCAGATGTACCCATTATACACAGCACACAGAAGTGTATGAGGTCAACACATGAAGCTAATTAAGATATCCAGCCCTAAATACCCTAAGTAGCTTCTGCTCTGTGAGTGAATGGAGTAGAATAGACATGATATGAAAGGACAGGAAAATAAACTGACAGATGTTACCTGCGTATGCTACATTTGGACATCATAAATGGAATTTTTTGCAAGGCTAGGAAAACTTGATTTAGCCAGTATATGCTAGTGCACTAGATTCAGCTGCCAAGACTACTAAATTCTGTTGTTAATCTTCTTGGACTTTCTGTTTTTAATCTAAAAGTAATACTTAAATAGTTGCTTTGTTGCTTAGAAAATTAAGTTTATTCCCAGCAAACACTGGTAAGCGATGTGAATAAGGAGTCTCCATGCTGCTTTAGGGACACAGGTACTGAGTGACAGCAAAATGCAGTTTGTCATAAGACATGGCAGAATTCCTGCCTTTAAATCTTCTGAGTTGTCAGCTGATTTGTTACCGGAAGTAAAAGCTTGCTTTTATGGGTTGGGAGCACACAGATAGAACAATCTAGAAGGAACCTTTTACCTTTCTTGCTTCCCTTCCCTAACAGCCTTTGAAGATCTGTATGCTTAGAGAAGGGGTACACTTAGCTTAGAACTGAAATTTCTTTTTGCGCAGCTCCATCTCCATAGTGAATGTCTGCTTACTGCAAAATGTTGTGGCTTAAGTGTAGTACATAAAATAGTCCTGGGTTTTGTTAAGAGACCTTTATATTTGTTTGCCATTCTTTCATGTGAGTTGAAAGAATTTATATTTTTGAAATTCACTTTTGAATTCCTACTTGGATGACGCTCATCTCTTGTCTCTCAGCCATTGCCAAAGTCAAAAAAAACACCAAGCAAAGGTGGCAAAAAAGAGCGCAGTAGCTCTGGAACAACAAGAAAAGCAAAACGCACCAAGTGCCCTGAGATCTTGTCAGATGAATCCAGTAGTGAAGAAGATGAAAAGAAGGAAAAGGATGACTCTTCAGAAGAAAAAGAAAGTGAAGATGAGGTAACGAGGAGTTTTGTTTGTTTTTCAACACAGGGCTTAAAACATTTGTCATTATGTTGTTGTTATCAGTTGGTAATTCTTGGAACATGCAGAGTTGGGGAGTAAGTGATATTTAACTGAATGAATGGTTTGAAAGAAAAGAGAACATATCTGCAATTTATAAGAGGTTTTCATAATTTTTTAGTGTGTTGAAGTTAGAGAATCAGTTAGATAAAGGGAAGAGGTTCTGATTCCTGGGGGTGTGTATGCACCTTATAAAACCATTCACTATGTGCCATTCTGAGGCAGCCAGGATTTCTACAATAATTGATTGAATTGCTTGTATCATCTTGTCATGACTCTACTATAATTTCATAAAAATTTCCAATGTCTCTCCCTCTGTCTGTCCCATTGGGTCCCGTCTGTCTATCGTTTCTGTCTGTCTGTCTATCTGTCTTTTTCCTTTTTTTGCTACCTAGGAATTCAGATTTGATATTTTGAATTCAGTCGGTGTCCCTGACCTACCTGACTGCATTTGGTTTGGATCATGGTTCCATATTTCTCCTGGATTTTATTTCCTAACCTCTTTTCAGCTTCTATGTTTTAGATCACAAAGATAAAGTAAGCAACATAGTAATCAGCCTTAGAAACATCCCTGCAATCTCTGAAGTGTTCTCATCTCACTGTATTTTCTGTTTTCTTTGAAGCTTTTTGTGTACTGGGAGAGAAACATCAAATCATGGAATAGTTTGGGTTGGAAGGGACCTTTAAAGGTCATCTAGTCCAGTCCTTCTGCAATGAGCAGGGGCATCATCAACTGAATCAGATTGCTCAGAGCCCTGTGGAACCTGGCCTGGAATATATCCAGGCATGGGGCATCCACTACCTCTCTGGGCAACTTGTTCCAGTGTTTCATCATACTCATCATAAAAAATTTTTTCCTTATGTCTAAGACAAATTGTTCCTCCTTCTGTTTAAAACTGTTACCCCTTGTCCTGCTGCAAAAGGCCTTTCTAAAAAATCTGTCCCTATCTTTCTTACAGATCTGCTTTAGGTACCTGAAGGCTGCTGTAAGGTCACCCTGGAGCCTTCTCTCTTCCAGTCTGAACAACCCCAGTTCTCTCAGCTTCTCCTTGTAGGAGAGGTGTTCTGTTCCTAATCAGAAATTAGAGGAACCCCATGCATTCCCTTTCAACCCAGTAGTTATTCACAGCATAGACACAAAATGTGGAGGACCAGTACAAGTCTGCAGCTGAGTTACTGTCCAAATGCCTGAAGCCTGGGAAAAAAGACATTAAAAGAAGTTACAGGCTCCATTTTAACCTGCATTTTGACTTAAACTGTCTTTCCAACCTTAATCAGACTCCTGCAACAAGTAGCAATTAGTCAACTGTTGGTGTCCAAGAAAAGTTTTATGTAAGCTTTGGCTGTAATGTAAGAAGACCACTATTTACTTGGGTTACATTCTGTCTGTTCCGATGAAGTGTGACAGGCTGTTAAGTCAATAGTCTGAGCTATAGAAAATAGTAACAAAAATCTTTTGTTGGAAGGCCCTTTATGTAACTTTAACAGTTTGTTTTGCCAGGGGTATTTTAATATGTATTCGTTTTAATGTAAAAAGATAGTTCAAGGAAATGCCCTATGTCTCCATGAAACAAATTTAATTCTTAATGTGCGCTTTTCTTTACCCATAAATGGAAAATTGAAAGAGGGTTGAAATACTAAAAGTTGACATATTTCTTCATCTCTTCCAGAAGACAGTGTTTCTGCTATAAGGAGAGGAATGTCTGTTTCAGAGGCAGGAGTTGCCTTTTAGAAAATTCTTCAAGAATTCAGTTAGTTAAAGAAAAAAAAATCCCAAACCCCCAAACAAAATTCTGACAAACAAAAAGGCCTAACAGTAAACCCCGTTGATATAAGTGGGTCATCTTTGCTTTCTTTCTGAAGGTAGGGGTTAGATATGTCTGTGAGGCAATAGCTGAATGGACTGAAGTCTTTAGAAGCTGAAGTCGACATGCATCGAGTAAAAGCTTAATTATGACAAAAACACTGGTCTGTCAAATTAGTTTGAATATAGGACACAGTGAAATGGAAAATGTCTGTGTACAGCTTTAAGATTGCAGCATTTTTTAGGGTTATGACAGCTTTTAATATACTACAGGTGGAAGGGTGTAGGCAGTATATTTGCTTTTCTGCATCAGCTCTGTAGTAATCTTAGGCATGGAGTGGCTGGAGTAAACTGCACTCAGAGTGGACAATTTTCCTTTGTGGAAAAGAGGTATGAATAAAAACCATCATTTGAATTTTCTCATTTTTTTTCTTCACAGCCCCCTAGAAAAGCATCTAAAAGAGAAAAATCTAAAAAGGTGACTTCCAAAACCAAGAAAGCTGTGAAGAGTGCGAATGTCAAGAAGGCAGACAGCAGCACCACTAAGAAAAATCAGAACAGTTCTAGAAAAGGTAAATGCTCTAAATCTTTCATCATACCTTGTCTTGTAGTTTAACGGTCATGCTTATTGGAAAGGAAACTTTTGCACCTAATTGTGAAAAGAAAATGGATTTTGGTGAATTGTTGGCTTGCTACTTGATGTTTCTTTCCTTGAAACGTTAATTAAAAAAAAGTTCTTGGTTTGGGTATACTTCATGTAATTTCTGCTGTGTACATATGTATATAGTTTTTATTTGCATATAAACTGAAAGTATCAGCCGAGATCTCCATTCTGCTGGGTGACAAAATTCTGTTGGGGCCTCTATGGTGGCTTCATCCAAATCTTGTAATTGATCCAGTGGTGTATATCCCACTCTGTGTTGTCGTGAGGAGGGAAGAGAGAGACGCTCAATATGAGAATCAGCAAGCTTCGTTTATTGATCACTGCTAACAGCTTAATATATGCTTTATAATTAGCTCATACATATTGCAAAAGCTAAGCTCATTATTGGTTCTTGCTTAAATGTTGATTCCGCCTTTACTCCCTTCTTTTGTTTACACAGGTGGCTCTCAGTTGCTTTTGTTTTGCTAATCACAACGTCCTGTTTACCAGCCAACTAGCACTTACAAAGACACTGTAGCCTTACCATGGCCTTGGTATCTCAGATTTTCTCATCGACCTAGACAAGCTGTGTTCTATACTCTAACAGCTCGTCCATAGCTTTAGCTATATCCATATGCCCTTGTCCTGCTAGCCAATCCTCTGTACTGTGTGTCTTTGGTTCAGCAGCTCGATGTGGTTTTTTTAACAGAGATATGGTTTCTCCATGTATCCCCTTGCTGCTGATTTTCTCATATCTCACAATATGCACTGAAGTTACACAAACATCGAGTTTCTTAGCAGCTCTATAAAGATTCCATAGCAGTGTCTGTAGGGACAGTGGTGTCCTCCTAAGCAGTTTTGCAGAAAAGGACCTGGGCAGGGGCAGATGGTCCTCGAAGACAATGAGTTGAGCCCAGTTCAGCAGTGTGCCCTTCTGATAAGGAACACTGACAGCACGCGGGGCTCCTTGAGCAAGTGTGGAGCCAACAGGCTGAGGGAAGGGACTGTTGGCCCTGTACAGCACTTAGTGAGCCCAACTTGGCAGCACTGTGTCCAGCTTTGGGCTCCCTGGGGCAAGGCAGGCATGGACACTGTGGAGTGAGTCCAGTGGAGGGCCACCAAGATGACGAGGGGGCTGGAGCACAGGATAGAGGAGGGAAGGCAGAGAGAGTTGGGCTTGTTCAGCCTGAAAAAGAGATCCATGAAGGGGGATCGTACTGCAGGGTGCAACTACCAAATGGGAGAGTATGGGGAAGGCAGGGCCAGGCTCTTCTGGGAGGTGCACAGTGAGAGGACAGGAGACACAAGCTGCCACCATGGAAACTGCAGTTATTTGTTAGGGGACGAAAAACTTCACCACCTTGAGGGTGGTCACACACAGAAATGGGGCCTGGAGGAGCTGTGGAACTCAACCTGGCAGGGCCCTGAGCAACCAGTTCTGAGTTGGGCCTGTTCCAAGTAAAGGTTTAAACCAGATGACCTCTAGGGGTACATTCCCACCTTAAATTGTCTGACCGTCCATGAGATAGCGGCCAAGTCTCTGTCACAATTGTAGTATGAGTTATTGATGCAGTGTATATCCATACTGCAAACATACTTCATTTAATGCCAGCATTGGCATATATATGACATAGCACAAGCATCAGTTCAGATTAATTACCCTTCTTGTCAGGGTATTGAGAAAAGGCTGTTAGGCAAAGAATTATGCTAAATTTCTTTCATAGCTTTGTTTCTCAGCAGAGTAAACTGGCCTGTACTGACATCAGTGTATTTTCAGTTTGACTGCTGAATATGGCTCTCTGTGTTTTGTATACACCTTATTTTGTCATCAGTATATGTATATTTATTCACAAATGCTACCTATGTGTTTTTCATATAAGTTATGCAATATATTCGTAATTTCTTATTTATTCCTCCTGCATTTCTGTTTTGAGTGTATGCTTGCAGTACAAAAATCAAAATGTTAAGTAAGTCTTTCTGTAAGCTCATTATCGAGTTTGTTTGGCATTTGCTCTGAATTTTGTCCTGTTGGCAGTAGAGAAACTGAGTGGATGTTGGAGCCATTCAGTCTAATTCTTTTTCTGCTGGAAAAGACTGTAGGAATATCCTGTGACCTTTTGCTTAACTTCATTTATGAAGTTCTCTTCTTCTGTTCTCATGGTGTTTCTAATAGCATGTTCAGTAATACAGCATTACAAAATTGTGTAATGCACAACACTGTTGGGGGGGGAAAAGAAATCCAAACTCCTTTTTAAAGCAAATAAGTACTTTTTATTTTTTTAGGACCATAATACATCAATTAGAATTGTTGTAATAAGCTTTTTTTTGTTTGATAGATTAAATTTATCAATCCCATACTTTTTAGAGTACTTATTGATCTGTAAACTGATAGTTTATCAACGACTATGCAAATTCGTAAACAAATGTAGTACTGAAGTACTGATAGCATTAGCTTTGTTTTTAAATGGATGATCTGGCAAGATGTCTGTTGCAAGGGAGAACATCTGCATCAGAAGCTTGTGGAAAGTTCTGATGGCTTCTGTTTTGATGGAAGAAAGCAGAGAAATTGAAAACCTTCTATTACAATTCCAATTGTTCTTCATATTTAGAAAGCGAGTCTGAAGATAGTTCAGATGATGAACCTTTAATTAAAAAACTGAAGAAACCACCCACAGATGAAGAAGTGAAGGAAACTGTCAAGAACTTGTTGGCCAATGCAAACTTGGAGGAGGTCACAATGAAACAAATTTGCAAGGAGGTAAGCAAATATGATTTTTCAGTCTGTCTTTAGGCAGTGTATTGTTTGTGAACTGACTTTTATTATAATTTCAGATGGAGGCTTGTATATTCTGCATCATGGTTCAGAAACTAAGTAGTTTTGCTTAATTGCTAACAGCTACAATGAGAGCTTTAATCTTAAGGTATACAACATGATACAAACTTTAGAAAGGAAATATCCAAAGAAAAATTAGCTACATGGAAAGTAGCAGTATTACCTCCAAAACAACTGCCACATTTCTCAGTGAAAATGTTGAGACAGTGGAGCAGCTTGCTGCTGTCTACAGGGGAGGGCTGTGTCCTGCTCTCTGTACGTTTCTGCTGCACACCTTGCTCTCATTCTTCGTATGTCCTCTTTGAGACTGTTCAGCTGCCATCTGTCAGCAAAAACTGAATAGTTCTCAGCTGAGTTAGTGAGTTGGATCAGTTCAGCAAGAAATCCATTATTTGCCAGGACAGGTAGGAACCATGTGGCCAGAGAAGGGAAAGGTGGGAAAAGTGACCAAAACAGAGAAAATGCATTTACCTTGATATTTTCTGCAGTCAGTTAGTTAGCTCACATGTTTGGGTTTCCTGGTACCAAGAAGTAGTCTTGAGAAAGTTAAACCAGAAATTATTCTTATGAGAAAATTGCATGTTTATATTCTGTACAAACTTTTTGTCGTGTTTATAGTAATTCTAGAAGTCTGAAATTTGGTATAGTGTAATGAAATGCCCTGTGTTGGCATCTGTTTTTTGTTCGTGTAGTCCTCTAGCATCCTGTTAACCAAAGAATAGCTGTAGAATAGCACTCAAATATGCTGACTATTCTGTTAGTCTCTTGAAAGGATAACAATTCTACTTATTATCAGATCCCAAGGCTTACTTATTTTTTATTTACTGTTTAGCTTCCCACACTAATGTAGGGATATCTGACTACTTAGAGAGCACTTAAAACAAAGCTCAGAGAATTCTTACTTGTGTGACATGGCAAGCTAGGCATTTCAGTTTGTTGGTGTGAAAAATTACAGTACCAGTTTAGTCAGTGACCAAATATAAAACAATACATGTATTTAAATATTTATGTGGTCAAAATAAGGACAGGAAAATAAGCCTGTCTCTTTCCATAGCTAACAGAGGGTATTTTGGCTGTTGTAATACTAGAAGTACACACATCAGTTTTTGCCCTAATTTCATTTAAGCTCCTTCTATTCATACAATGCATTGAATGAAAGTAATTTGAGGTTTGTTTTTTGTTTTTACTTTTTTTTAGGTCTATGAAAAATATCCTAGTTATGATTTATCTGACAGAAAAGACTTCATTAAAAAAACAGTCAAAGAGGTAAAGACTTTATCATTTAGAAAACGTTCTGGGTTGGGTTTTTTTAATTCAGCCTATTAGCAACTGGCCTGGCATCTTGTTACACTAATTTTAATAGCCTCCTGTATAATATGGGAAGTTTAGTGCTCTGCTAAAACCTAAACCTTTGATTTTTGGTTTTGGGGTGGTTTTTTCCCAAACTTTTTCCCAACTTTTGTATCCCTCTTTAAAAATCACAATTGCTTCATACTCTATTTTCTTAGCATGCTACTACTACTCTTGTGAATTTTTTGGTAAGCAGAACTAAAATTAAAGTATCATAATTTTTGATAACTATTACTCTGAAAGCTATGAGTTTCCTTTAAATTACAATCTTGGTTGCAAAATGCACTCTTAATTCATGCACCAGCCACATACATTCATACATAACAATGCAGGAGGTTGTACAGGCTCTGCAGACCTGTAAGTTAAGGCAAAAAGGACAGATAGCTTTTCTCTCTGTCTGTGCTCCTGGTAAGTACAGTTATACTGCTCTTACCTTTGAGTTTGCTTTGCTGAAGATTAGGCATTATCTATTGCATTCATGACACAGGGTTTACTGTCCAATCTGTGGTTGGTAATTTGTAAAAAAAAATGTGCTTACTTTTGCTTGCCCTAAAACTAAAAATGGAACTGTAAAAGTGAGGGTCGCTTAGAGAAGTTAATAAAGTAACTTTTTCTTTTTCCTGTGGGTTCATTTGCAGATGTTGATATATGGCTATCTAGAATAGATAGCCATATGGGATGTCTATGGGATGTGTATACATGTGTCACTATCATGAGTGAGCAATTTGTCTGCTGTAGGGATGTTCTTGGGGTTTTTGTGATAGCAAAAGCAGAGTGTGTTTTCTTGGTAGTCTGATACAAAAGGAGAGGTTGTATGTAATTGGATTGAGAGAAAGGAGGAAACTAATACACTTCTACACTAATACACTAATACACTTCTCTTTTCAGTTGATCTCATGATCTGATTTGACTGTGGGCAATGAAGATTCCTGGTTTAATGTTCCCATGGATTTGAAGATCTGATAGGCACCAGCAAAAAGAATGTGTCTTACCCTCACGGTATTTAGTCAGAGCTAATTCTGCTGATCTAATGTTAAGAGTGTTAATGTAAATTGCTTTGTGTATCTTTTTTTTCTTTTTAAACAGAACTGCATTTGATGCAATTTTTAGTTGAACATACTTAAGTTTCATGCATGGCAGTAAATGTTCCCTTTTTTATAGTTTTGTACATTTTGAATTGCGTTGTATAACTAGATTCATTAGAAGCCATCATAGCTTTTTAGCATGGATTACTAGCTTGCAGGAGACTTTAAAATCAAGTAAGATGAAAGCTGCTTATCTACATGTTTACATGCAGAGACTGGAATATTGCAGTATTGGTTGCAAAGATATTCTGAATACATATTCATTCTGAAAATAACAAGAGTTAATCACATGTTAATCTCTTATATTCTGATACATTCTACAGGTGCAGAATTATTCTGAATATAGATTACAGTCTTGCATGTGTAGGCATTGAGAGAACTATGAAAGCGTGGTAACTAATTGGCATATAGATGTTATTTTTGTACTTTCAAAAGGCTTTTTGTTGTGTATATAAAGTTATTTTAAGTTTCTTTGTGCAAATCAATTTTTTAATCTTGTTGTCTTTGAGTTTGTGACATGAAATGTCAATGTTCAGCAGTGAGGCGTTGATGGAAAGTGGTATGCAGAAGTTTCATGACGTTACAAATGAGCCGAGGTTTCACCATGTTTGTCCCATCTTACCTTGTACAGAAACTAAACTGTAATTTTATACCTGTAGTTTAACTTTGTACAAAGCCTACAGACATTGTTTCAGTGTCTTGGATGTAATAAATAAAATCCCTCCAAAGCTGACAGGAAAATTTCTAAAGTTCACTTCGCAAAAAATCTTCTACATTAGCATCTTGACTTGGTACCCACTTCTGAGATGCTGGGTCATCCGAAATGTTCAGCTGGGAGGCTTGACAGCTTTGGAAATCCACAATGGGGCTTCCGAATCAGACAGCGCTGATGTATATATGCGTGGTTAACCTCTCCTCTGTATGGGAAGGCTTTTCTGAACCTGAGCCTTGGTGCCTCAACATGGACAATGGTACTTTTAAGCCTGCAGTCTTGAACTTTGGCTGGCAGCTTTTAGGATCGAAGTGAACTCATTGCATAAGTTTTTATTGTTTAGGTTTTCTCTCCTCTACACCTTGTTGCTAATATGGGAAGTCCTACACTTAAAATCATGAAACTAATAGTTGTCGAAATGTGGGCTGCCATTAACACCACGAGCACAGACTCCCTCTGACTAGTATTGCTGGAAAGACAAAGTGTATTTTTCTGAATTTTGTTATTGTACAGTTGAGAAATAAGGGTTCATAAATGATCTAAATTCTGAAATTGTTCAGCCAGTTAGACTGTTCATCTTCACAGAGTTCTGAATTTCTTTGTGTAATCATTTATAATAAGGCTGAATGTAACGGGGATTTTTTGTATTCAATAAATGACTTTCACAAAAATATAAATCAATTTTGATCTTATATTTGCTTACATGTATAGTAAAAAAAAAACCCCAGACCTGTATATAAACAAGGTTGTTTGTCTTCATCTCATCTGCTAGAAACTATTGGCTTCTCTGCTTGGAAGATAATACTGGTGAAATGTATGTCCTTGCACCAGGATAAGAGTTTGATCAACCTCTTCTGTGAGGTTGATCTTGGTTTGGTTTGGTTCTTTGCTGTTTGTTTTTCTCTGAACTGTCTTAGCAGAAAGAACACTTTTTCATTTGCAATTAAAAAACATCAAAAACTTCCAAGTCACGCTTAAGAGCAGGAAGTTACTTGTTTTAAGTTTTGTTGGATTTTCAGATTGATATTTTACAAATATTTGAACTGCCTTTTGATTTTAATGTAAATATACTAGCCATTTTTAATTATGTGGGTCAGGAAGTGTCTTTAAGATGAGCAACTCCCAAGTATAAACCTTTTTTAATAGTGTAAATTCTACTGAAACTTACAAAGGGATAGCATACTTCTGCTTATGCCACTTTGGAATGGCACAGATGGAATGGGAATGAACTTGACATCCTTTAAATTCTTTGTTTAAATCTCTTAACAACTCAATATAGTCCTCAACAGAGAAGAAATGTGAGCTGTTTTCCTGATAATACATACCAGTCTGGATGCAGCTGATACAAGATTCCAGTTCTTTCTGCAACTGGGAGAAAGGATGCAAGACAATACTAAAAGGTAAATAAAATGCTCTGCTTATCCTGATTCTATTGAATTAGAAACACAGATTATTAAGGATTTAAATCCTGTAAAAAGAGGTTGATAAAAAAATAGAAATGGGTTAACTGGATAAAAGGTAACTGAATAAACAGTTATACCTCTTCAGGCATACACCTTCCAGATGCTTAAGGTAATGTCCTCACCATTGACTCTAACAAAAATAGTCCCAACATCTTGATTTGATTGCTTACAGCACAATTCCTACAATCCAGTGTATTGGTTCCTCTGTTTAGTTAAGTCTTTGGTATTCAGTATTTTAGTTGGTGACCTGCAAACCCACATAAGTTAACCTGAATGACTTGCTGATACAAGGAGCTGTTCTTAGGAGTGAGCTTGACCTTTGAGGTAACAGCGTATGGGCCCTGTAGGATAAGGAAGATGGAGAGAATGAGGGGAGGAGAGAGAAAGATCAGAAATTTTGAGTGAAGAGAGGTTACATGTCTTTAGGAGCTATGTGGTAACCCATGGTATACTGCTCAGGCTTGTCTAACCAAGATGAAATTAGGAAGACACAACTTTAAGTGCCATCCCACTTTTGTCCAGAAGCTCTGGACTAACAGCCCTCTTGTACCTGAGCAGGCTGCTTATAGGATCTGTGTTCCTTCTGCATTATCCTGTTATAAGGCACATGACAAAACAAGATCTAAGAATTGTCTGAGTTTATATTAGCCACTGCTAAGCTGGACTTAAAACTAACCCTTTTGGAAGGCCAGTGCTTAATGTAGACAAATAATACCCCTGGCTGTCAGCATGGTGATTCCAGTAAGGTTTATTAGCTCTGTTGCCGATTGAGAGAGAGGATGGCTCATGGCCACTGTGCAGATCTAATCTTTCCAAATCAGAGAGTTAGCTATAATCAGCTGTACTTGTTTGACCTGAGCTAGATGAAAGCATTGGAGAAAATAGTTCTGGTGGTAGTTTAGGGAGAAGAGTGGAAAAATTTATAAGGCACCTGAATACTGTCTGAAAAACTTGCAGTAAGACATCTAGTATAATCAATATTCCAGTTGCTGAAAAACATCTTGAATGTTGGCAAGTGTAGTGTTTTCCTTTTGCAAAGAAGTGTCTTTCCTGCCTTTGAATTCAGAACTATTTAGTAAAGCAAGAAGGTGGAAATTACAGGTCTAAAGACTTATTTTTGACTTGCAGAAAAATGGGCTGACAGGAATCTCATAAAGGTCAACAAAAACAAATGCAGCATCCTGCTTCTGGAATGGAGTAATTCCATAGCAGTGTCTGTAGGGACAGTGGTGTCCTCCTAAGCAGTTTTGCAGAAAAGGACCTGGGCAGGGGCAGATGGTCCTCGCAGACAATGAGTTGAGCCCAGTTCAGCAGTGTGCCCTTCTGATAAGGAACACTGACAGCACTCAGGGCTCCTTGAGCAAGTTTGGAGCCAACAGGCTGAGGGAAGGGACTGTTGGCCCTGTACAGCACTTAGTGAGCCCAACTTGGCAGCACTGTGTCCAGCTTTGGGCTCCCTGGGGCAAGGCAGGCATGGACACTGTGGAGTGAATCCAGTGGAGGGTCACCAAGATGACGAGGGGGCTGGAGCACAGGATAGAGGAGGGAAGGCAGAGAGAGCTGGGCTTGTTCAGCCTGAAAAAGAGATCCATGAAGGGGGATCATACTGCAGAGTGCAACTACCAAATGGGAGAGTATGGGGAAGGCAGGGCCAGGCTCTGCTCGGAGGTGCACAGTGAGAGGACAGGAGACACAAGCTGCCACCAGGGAAACTGCAGTTATTTGTTAGGGGAAGAAAAACTTCACCACCTTGAGGGTGGTCACACACAGAAATGGGGCCTGGAGGAGCTGTGGAATCCCCATTGTTGGAGATATTCAAACCTCAGCCCTGAGGAACCAGCTCTGCGTTGGCCCTGTTCCAAGAAGCAGCTTTGGTACCAGATGATCTCCAAAGGTTCTGGGAATAAGAGGATGGCAGTATTATGTAACATGCCTTGCCTTTTCACCTGACCTTGTTCTGGACTGCAGCTAGTATAGATTCACTATTCCACTTTTACCTCTGAACTAAGTTTTAGACAGCTGGGCTAAAAGGAAAAAAATATTCCCTCACACAGTTTTCTTGGAGGATTGTCATTCTTTGAGGAGTGTAATGACATCTCCTGATTTGTAAATTATTTTAAAAAGCATCATCAGTATTTTGTTTCTATTTTAAAGACTGTTATTCTTAGAATGAAGCTAGCATTTTTCAAAACCAATATCAGGTGTAATGAGTTAGCATTTCAAGAAAAAAGCACATCTTCAGATACAAAATTTTTCAACTGTTCACCAAGTATGACAGGGTTAGGGGAAAGCAGTGCATTTCTCCCCAGTAATGCTTTCACTAGTTCAGACCTACATGTGGGTGAAATAAACTGTCAAAGCGATAGGAATACTTTTTTTCAAGGTCCCTGTAGTCAGAATTAGACTAAATGAACACCTAACCTCCCATTCAAGAGGAATAATGTAGCATCAGAATTTGTCATTGTTTCTATTTTAAATATATTGAGTGTGAAGTCAGGGGTATAGTGCTTATAGTGATCTGTGCTAGTAGGAACCTTTCAGGACCTCAATCCTACAGAGTGTTCACACTACACTTAGTCCGTGAAAAGCATTAAATGGTTCCCTGGTGATATTTTTAAATTCTGGGCAGTGCTTCTAAATAATTATCACTTTAGCTTAAATTTCCTCTGGCTAAGGAAAATAGTCTAATACAAGCTTAGGAATTGCTTCATAAAACTTTGAGGCGAAAGACACTGAAAGCAGTATTGTCCAAAGAATGGCAGACTTAGTACTTAGAGCTCAGGGAAGGCTGTAAAGCAGCATTTCTGAGGAATTGTCTAGCTGTAGGAATATACTAAAATGAAATTTTAAGTCAGTATCAAATGTAACAAAAAAGGAGACTTAGCCACTCGTTAAAGGAAAAAAAAAAACAACCAAAACAGGGGCATCCTGTGAATACTTTCCAGTTTTATTCTGCTGCCATAACATAGTCACACAGAAGAATTGTAACAGATCATGCTCTGCATTCAAATCTTTTTTTTTTAATAACATTTAAACAAATCTACTCAAAGAAAACATTCCCCAGTTCTTTATTTGAGGGAATAAATTAAACACAAAACACATACATGCTTGAAATAAATTTTAACATAGATATGAAAAAAAATTTTGGGCAACATTAAAGAATGAAGTCTCAGAACCAGCCTGATGTTCTTATATATTTCAAGTGAATGTAAATTAAAATGGAACATACTTTATTTACTCCTCAAAATTAAGTGCGGCACAACGCAGTTTAAGTGCCCTGGCACCAAAATAATATACAAATAATTAATAGACTAGGCCATTGATTAAATTTATCATTTGTTATCTGTTTTTGTAATGCTGTAAGTGTGCATCATCTAAAGCCAAATATGACGGTATTTGTTCATGTTCATGTCCATGTCCATCTCTCTTCTCTAGGATATAGCATTTATCTACCTGCAAAGTTGCAGGTAGATTGAAAACCCCAAATACGAATTAACAGGATGACATTAAGCACATTCACACAAACTTTGGACTGCGGAAAAGGATGCTGAGCTAAACTTTCCAGACCATTCCTACCTGAAATGTGACATGTTTATATGTTAATAAGCTGAAGTTTTGAACAAGGTCAGCTGAAGCAGCCATGGAATATAATGTTTTGGGCTTGTAGTAATAAGTTTTTTTCCCACCACCAGAAGCTTCTCTGCTAATAATTTGTCATATATGGTAAAGAGGGAAAGAAACTTGAAACTCAAAACATACATAGCTCTCAATATTTCCTAGTTATGCCATAAGGTGGCCCATAATATATGAAGCTAACAAAGTGCAAATGACTACCAAAGGAAAAATCTGATGTCTGATTATCTTTTATCATCAGAGGGCTTTGTCTTGCTTCTTATAGCCTTTAAATTACAATTTAATGCTTGGAAATGCTTTAAAACTGTACATACTAGCATTTATGTAGAGGAAAATTATGAAAAAATTCACTCTTCCTAGTAATTCATATAACCCAGCTTTAAGAAGCAGAACAGAATATATATCTGAAAAACATCTAGTTATATAAACATCTTCACCTTGTAAATTAGAGATTAAATAAAGGGGTTTTAACAATATCATAGCTACTCTAAAACCAAAACATTATGTATTTGAAAAGAAGAATTGCATTTATGCAGTAGAACCCTGGTGGTGATCAAAGCCAGGTTGGGTAAGGCCTTGAG